CTTTTCAGGCTTAGTTCCCATTATTCTCTCAATAAGTTCCTCTAGTGTAATATTTTTAAAATTCTTCTTAAAGTTCCCACCTCCCTTCCTTTTATTCCAGTTGCAATATTTCTCCCTAGTTTTACTATCCAATATTGGGATCTAAATATTATTTCTTCTAATTAGTTAGATCGTTTCTTGAAGATATATTCCCCTTTAAATTCTGTTTGATGAGCATCGCAAATCAGATTTATTGGTTCCAAAATGATTTCCACAACCAACCAATTCTAATTTTCCAAGTCCCCCATCCTTTTTGTGATAATCGTAAGTATTAACCCCACCATTAATTATTTGTCATTTCTCTCCTTTGTATGGCACCTGTATCTTTATTTTTTACTCAGTTTCTCGATTTCTTTTCTTTTTTCCTAGATACTCTATATATGTGATTTAAATTCTAAAAATTCCCATCTGATCTTGAATAAACATTTGTTATTGAAATTCCAACTAGTGATACATAATTCAACATCATCCTCTGGTAACTTAATTCAGCAGGGGGTTGTAGGCTCTCATTCATTCTTTTAAACTTGACCATTGTGCCTTGAATTAATTCCTTCGATCTCTAAATGAAACCACATCAAATCTACTCACTAGTCCCAGATTCTAAAATCTCCTATTTGGCATCATTTAAATTTATAATAAAAGTATTTGGAATTATGTTAAAAAAATATTTATAAACATTATCCTTTAAACATATTTCTTGGTCCACAATTAGACATATACTGTCAACCTCTTACATATCCCCTCCACATTCTATTCTTCATCCTCTTAATACTATTGTCCTAGGAATAACATTCTTACCATTTTATTCCTTGTCTTTTTCTAGAATTAGCCTCATAGGTTTCTTCCTGAGTTTCGCGAAATATATCTTTGCGATGATATTAATTTATCTTAATATTTTTATTTTTATGAATAAATCTTTTCTGGATCATTATGCAAAAGATTTGATAATTAATATCTTTTAAAAGATCTAACACAATTTAAATGTAAATGAAATGATCAACTTTTCTCATTATCAGAAAGAATGATGATGTATTTTAAGATTTTATTTATTAGAAGAAATGTAAAGCGTTATGAATTGATTTCAAGTTTGGAAAGGAAATTCATAACGAATCTAAGCGCAATAAGTCTAGTATTTTATATCATAGAATCAGAAATCTAGAATATTCTCATAAAAATGAATATCTATCATAAGATAATTTGGGTTCTACATCTATTGTGTTTAAAAGCATAAATATGCGCTTATGAATTTCCACCCTCGATAAACCAAACTTTTATCTTTCTTAAGAATTCAATCTTAGGTACATGCCTTCTAGTTATTTACAAAATGATGAACTAAATAATTTCTTAACTTAACCCCCAAGTGATACTTTTAATAAATCAAAATAAAATTAGACAATCATTAAAACAGGTTTATTTATAAATTCTTACAAAAAATGAATTCAATAAAATTAATATTTCTAATGTATTAAAGATGAGGAAATTGCAGAATAGGAGAAAAAAATCTCAATATTGGGA